TATATCATATATGCCAGGAAAGCTCCTGATCACGACATTGATGATCACGACAAACATCTCTGCGATTTAGAACTCTTTTGTACCAAAATACCCTTCTGACTTGGTTTAATGACATGTATATATATTTATTTTAAATTTAATTTTTATACACTACTTACATGTTTTTCCATTTACCCCGCTAATAGTTTGACAAAAAAAAATTTTGGGTCAAAAGTGCTTTTTGGCCAAAAATTGAGTTGTTTGGCTAAGTTTTTATAAGGAGAAAAAGTATTTTTGAGGAGAAGCAGAAGTAGATTTTGAGAAAACAGAAAAATGTAGCTTCTCTCCGAAAGCATTTTTCTGAGAAACACTTTTGAGAAAAATACACTTAAAAAAAGTTTTCAAAAGCTTGACCAAATACTAATTACTGCTCAAAAGTATTTTTCAAATTAATTAGCCAAACACAAACCGATTCTCACCAAAAGTATTTTTTTGAAAAACACTTCTCAAAATAAGCAAATTTTAGAAGCTTCGCCAAGCAGCTATAAATTGGAGTTTGGTACGGTATTATTATGATTCTAAAATATGCATTATTATTAGAGGAGGTGCTCTCCAAAAGAGTAAAACAGAGAACAAACAAACACATGTTGCTTTAATATTTTCTTATACTATCACAACTATAATACACACGTCAAATTAACGTTTAAATTTTGTGTCAATTAATTACCTATATATTAAAAGTAACAAATGAAAAGCTGTATAGGGTAGTGGTAGATGTAGGTTTGGGGTTCAAATGAATTCCAACTTTTAAAAGTTAAATTCATCGAATTAAAATCATATATTTGTCTATAACACGGAGGACATCAAAAAGAATACCTAGAATAAAAATAATTTGGAGCAAAAAAAATGGGAGAATGAATCTTAGGTAGGGCAATGCAAGTAGGTAGTAAGAGCGTGGGCGGATCTAGAGCAAATATTACGGGTTTTTATGAACCCAATAACTTTTGCATAGGACATGTATTTGTATTAAAAAAATTATTAAAAATATATGAATATTTAATTTAAAATCAAGTTCGTTTGTCCAGTTATCATGTAGATTAACTTGAGATTGTTATAAAAATTCATAAACTTTAAATTATGATTTTTTTTTTTTTTTTCTGAGTACGAGATTTGCATAGTGTCAAATTGGTACTATATGCACGTTGGTTAGTTTGAAACGAGAAAGAAAAAGAGAGAGTAGAGACAATTCCATCAAATCAAATTTGTTTGGTAGCTTATGGGCAAGTGTCACGGGTTGTATACTGTTCCAAGTCTTTTTAGTCTCTGCCTAAATGCTGCTTGTGACTTGTGAGTTCTCTTTTTCTCTCTTCTGCTTAAAAGGATTCCCAGAATCCCAAATGGCCCACATGGTAAAGTTATTTCCCGTGAGTTTAAAATGATACGTCCCTCTAGACTTGACAATCAAATTATGTTTTTTTGGACTTTTTCTAGGCGTAGCATGCACCTTTATGACCTTTATTTTATTATATTTCTGTTTAGACGATGAAAGTATCATAAATAAGGATATTGAGATGAATGTGCGGACATATTATTAAGGTGGTAGGTTGACATGCAGTTGTGCGTTTCTCCTAGGTTTACTAGTAGTACTTATTCATTCTTGTATTTTCTTATTCTTGGTTTTTTATCACTTGTTATGTCATTCGCTTCCATTATCATATTATATTATTGTTGTTATTGCTTGTTGCTTTATTTTTATTGTTCCTTAAGCCGATGGTCTATCAGAAATATATCATCTCTGCCTTTATAGGGTAAGGGTTAGGTTGCGTACGAATTACCTTCCCAAACCCTACGTATGTGATTAAAGTGAGTTTGTTGTTGTTGTTTCTGGACATGGTAGGAAATATTTTTAAACCAACCTAAGTTGGAAATGTTGGACCTTATCTATGTAACTTTCAGCTTTCAATCAAAAAATTATTTTTTATTACAAGTTACAATCAGGCGGAGCTAGGGACAGAATTCAAAATTATGTTAAATTTTATTTTGGCGACTTCTTCGAGTGTTTACTTTTAATATTCTTTGAATGTTTTTAGTAAAAATCCTACTTCGATCCGCCATGATAAAGTGGTCAAAAGACAGTTAAATTTTAGGTACTTTTGGAAAATGAAAGAAGAAAAGCTTAGACTCCAAAGCGAAAAGAGAATTATAAAAAGATGTGGTGCAAGAGAAAATGAGGTGAAACTGGAGGTTCAATGCAATGGTAACGTTGTTGAGGAGGGAGAGTTCTTTTAACTGCATGGTTAATTAGCAAGATGGAGCTAGTACGAAGACAAAAAATTAGTGTGATATTTTTACTCATCCAATGGAAATTCGTTTCAATAAATCGATACAGCTATTTATTGAATTTTTTGGTGATACCAAATCAAACACACAAAAGGTACTAAACTTTTGTATAGGGGTTTTCAAAATCGAACCGAAACCAAAAATCAAATTAAAATCGAAACTTAATGACTTATTGGTATCGGGTTAACAGTTTAACGGACGGGGAACAGATTGAATTTTTTTTATTAACGGCTTATCGGTTTGGGGGCGGATTATTCAATTTTTTTAACGGATAATCCGTTAACCCATTAAGAATATATATATCCTAATGATATAGCTTCTGTCAAGTATCAATTCCTAATTTCCCGTTAACAAGTGTTGATATTGGTAGCCAAAATACATGCCTTTTGTTTTCTATTTTTCCCTGTTAGTGCCTTAGTGGTCATCACTATTGCTCACCATTGTATTAAATATAGAGAAAAAGATGTATAGTATAATTTACTCTATTAGAAATTTAGAATTTAGAAACCCTAAAATCTAGACTTTTCAATTTCTCCGGCCGCTGCCTCTCGCTCTCTCCTCCCATTATCTTCTCAAGGGTCTTTCCTCCATAGCTCTATAGCTCTAATCTCATAACAGATCTCAGACTCTCCGTTATGGCCATAGCCAGAGCAGCAGACGATAAGTTTCTTTCTTCTCGTTTTGGAATCTTTACTTGATGGTCGAATCTTTAGTTCTGCTATTGATAAAATAGTCCAAATCTATGTAAAAATTTGGAAAATATCAAAATTATTCTGGGGACAAAAAGAGGAATTTCGTGGCAGAAGAATGTCATTTTCCTCGTCATGCTTTGTCAAGAAATTAATTTACTTTATAATTCGATTTCGATTCAGTTCTAATATATCTGGTAAGAATTCGAACACTAGCAAGCTAGCCTGCTACCACTTTTCTGTTGCTATTTATTTTTCGAACACTAATTTATTTTTATTTGAATTTCCTTAAGCTTAAGTGAGTATCAGCCTAAACCAACTCACAAAGTGAAAAATAGAATTTAGTTAGTTGTGTAGTTGTTTTATACTGTTAATTAAGGTAATAATGCATCTCATTAATTCTGTGGATGAATCAGTAACAATTCCAGTCAAGTCACTAAATATCTAATTGCATAATTATTTTTCTAAAAGTCAAAGAATATCATATGCATCTCCAGGAAAATATGTAAACATACATAGAAGATATATAAATAGACCGATAAACTGCCCGATAATAACTAAATCGATACCAATCAGTCCGATATCTTATCGGGTGACTAGCAGATTAATACATTTAAAAATCGATTAATCGAACCGTTAGGCGTAAATAACTGCTCGCCCGATAAGCAGCCCTACTTTTGTACCTATAATTTTCTATCTACTTGAAGAATACAGCTTGCAGCAGAGTAGGGGCACAAACCAAAAGATGGCCCAAAGGAGAAACAGATACTTAATAGGATCGATATCTTGTCGTCTCACCTGTCAAGTGAATGCATTCATTTTCCTTTTTGGTTAGACATTAAGTGATGTAGGGAAACATTGTGTTTAGTTTACATTGTTTAATGGAGTAGTAAAGTTCAATCCATTTATTTTCTAACAAATTCACATCTTACTAATGATTTCAGAAAAATTATCAAGTAATGTCATATTTAATTATTTTTTCTTGGAAACATACTCAAGTCATTTTTAGAACAATCTATATTATATTAAAAGGAGGGTTGTGAAGTAAGTTGTTAAGCCAAGTGGCAAGCTAAAATGAAGTCACTTGGCACTTTTAAGACAACATTAAAATTTTAAATTATAAATAAAAATATAATTAATGGAAGTAGTAGTCCAACATTTTCTGTAAGTTGGATTTCATTCTTTAATTAATCGAAGGCAATTAGTTAGTGATTTAAACTAAAAATGTTCTCTTTTTAATGACCAAAATAGAATCTTTTGGAGGTACAAATAAAAA